TTTTTTTAAGTGTAACGAAAAATGCATATATATAAATTGTATTGTTATATTCATATATTGTAATGTTAATTTAAATTTATTGTAATGTTTCTCTCCTGATAATGCCTCAGCGGGGTCAGGAAATATGTAAATACTACATGTTAAAAATAAATGAATGAATGAATGAGTTAATTGTTATCACTAACTAGATACGCAACAAATATAAAGAAATTTTATAGAATAATAAGAAAAAAGTTTTTATTTTTTTAACAAAATCGGAAATTATTAAATTACGTAAAAGATTATTAATTAAAGTACATACAACATATATACACAATTTATTTGTCATTCTGTTTACATTCATTTTCAAAATCAGCCATTTTCTCGTTGGAAGCGCGAGCAGTGAAAGCGGCGATATCAAACTGGCTCGGTAGCTGCTTCCTGCACGCGCGTGTAGAAGCGTCATCTGGTGGTCGCTACACGCTAAACGCGGTTACTCCGGACACGCACATTTGCTCGAACCGGTTTGTCCGCTCCGCTTGAAAACGCGTTCACGCCCGCGGTCGCTGGACGCTGCCACGTAGGACGTAGCTTTAATCCAGTCGGAAACGGTATGTGGTGGGGACGGCCCTTTTAGTGCCCACAGGGCGGAAAGAGTATTAAATATATATATCTTGAGAGGTCAGGTTTAACGATGTTATTCGTTATTACATTTAAAATTTTTTTAATTAAAAAGAATCACTACCCTGAAAATTAAGCTTTTTGTCATTCGATAGTAATTAAAAATATAAAAAGTTATAAGTAAAGGTTTCTTCTTCCAATACTGAGACTAGTGATATTTATTAGGTCTTTCTTAATTATTCGCAATTAACAGAGACCAAGATTAAAACAGTTCACTTTATTTCGTGTATTTAGCAATGCATTTCGGATTGGTAATTTTCCAATCTCTCTTCGGGCTCACGGCTTCGATGTATAAGGTTATTATCTACAACATAACGAACAAAAGGTTAGTTTATGTAAAATATACTTTTGTTATTCAGAATGATGCATATAGTGCACAATTTGTACATATCATAATGGTGCAGTCTCTTTCATTTACTGGCATGTTTTCTTTCTCTATTTTTTATGGGAAAATGGCAACAGTTCTATTTCCCACAATTTTTAGCTTGTTATTATCTTTTAGAAAAATTTTAATTTCAATAATGTGGTTCATAACACGACAATGTAGCTTTTCATTGTAAATATTTTTACAAGTTGAAAAATCAAAATTTTCACAAACAAATTATAACTATAATAAGAACACAAGAACACTACTTACTCGTATATTTTGCAAAAGAAAAAACACTGTCCGAAAAAATCAACAATGTACTGAGTATAGTACGGATCAGACTGACCTGAGTACACTATAAAAAACAATCGTATGGCCGAGAGAAAGCCCTTCCAGTCCTGGCTCCTACTTAAATTATAAAAATATTATTATATTGAGAGTAAAGTACTACACTTACCACTTTAAACGCTAATATTTTACCTTCTTTATAATAATTAAATAAAATCTAGAAAACACCTCAATTCGAGATGAAACAATCTAGATTTATATCACTTATCTAGTTGCCTAAATCTAGTGTGGGCACGGCCCCCCCCAGTTAACCTGGTGCCCTCCCCAGGAAATTACAGCCGAAAAAGTGTTGATCCGATTTGCAAAAACAAATAAAAAGTTGAAGCTAATTTAATTGGGTGTAGTGTACCGCGGCCCGCAATTAATCTCTGAAAACTGGACTGAACATCAAATAATTGCTTGAATGGATCCGCGATAACTCTCTACAACCTGACAATGTAAAGTTATAGGAAAGTTGAGAAATTCTGATCCTAAAAAAAAAGGTCAACGGCCTTCTGTGCCCAATGTGAAAAGTGTATCTGTAATCTCTATGTACAGTTTAGTCTCTATGGAGTGACGTCACAATAAGATCTCGCATCACCCGAAAATCTTGCTAGGGCCGCCTCTGGTTCGGGCAGTGAAAAAAGTTTTCTTTCACTGCAATTCGGCCCGGAGGAAAAAATTGTTGGCCACCCCTGGTCTATACCTAGATTAAAGACGGCGAACTATATTAAAGAATGGTAAAAAAATAATTGATTGGTTAATTTTTATTTAATGCATTGCTAGAGTTTGATATTAATGTTACGAGAACGTATGATTAAAGAAAGTTTTATATTTTATGTGTGTTAAGTTATTGTCGATTCGTATTGAAATTTCATTTTAATGAACAATAATTTGAAATAATTCAATTTTGTGTCAGGTTGGCCTCTACTTGGCCCCCATAACAAAACTCTGGCTACGCCCATGGTGACAATCCTGCCCAACACGTGGTTTAGACCTCGATGTTTTGACTTAAAGTAAAATGGCGGTCAATAGTACCCGTCGTCGCTACCAAGAGCACTGTATCTTAGGTCACAGCCACTCTATGTAGTATATTCTAGCTCGTTGGAGTAAAATCGTCATTAATTAAGTCCGATTCCTCTTCGAGATATGACAAGTGATCCCCACTATATCAGTAGCGTAGCGTGGGTGTCAGCCGCCCGGGGCGGAGAAAAATTTTGCTGCCCCCTTATTTAGGTATCTCAGTTTAAAAGACTAAAATTCAGTTTCGTCACAGAATAAGTAATGAAAAATTCCGTGCTCGTTTCAATCGGTCCGAATCGTAGGTGCGACAAAAATATGAAATGAAATGGTTCAAATTTTTACCAGATATTATTATTTATTGTGAAATTTTGCCGCCCCCTAAAAGTGCCGCCCGGGGCAGGCCGCCCCTACCGCCCCCACTACGCTACGCCATTGCAGTATATCCACCACCTTTTTGACCTTTAACCACCAAACTTTAATAGCATCAATCCCCTTATATGGAAGATACTACCATGCTAAATTTCATTTCTTAATCATTACCCCATCCTGAAATATTAAACGAAATAGACACCAACATACGCGCGAGATTTGCAAAAAACTCGGAGGATAAAATTTGACACGATTACAATACTTCCCTTGTTATGTATATGTTACTGTGAAAGACCGAAATTAGAGAATGTCTATATTCTCCGGTGAATGTCGACACATACAAAATACGTCGGTGAAAGACCGAATATTTGGTTATATTATTATACATTCGAACAATCGCCGGTGTATGTCGACAAGCACAGATAAGCTTTGGTGGAGGTCGAAACGACACCCGAGAAGCCGATGTCGATAGAGAGGCGACAGTCTATCGCCAAATCCTTTGTGGGTAGCCGGAGGTAGGACAAGGTCTTTTGATCCCGTGAGGTTGGGGATCGATTTGTCAGGTCGAGTGGCGGAGGATGACAGGGGTCGGCGGTAAGGCGTCGGCGATATCCGAATAAACGACACCATTAACAGATCAGTTTGTAATCACGTAATAACGTAATCAGTTCGTAATTTGTAAAGAAAAGTTACTTTCCATAGATGAGATTTCTTCTCAAGAAATATCGCTGAGAGATGCAGCTGCAGCTAATTCGAAAAGTGGAGGACAAGGCTATACACGCTGTCATTGCAAAAAGAAGTGTTCCACGAATAAATGCAGTTGTAAAAGCGAGGGACTCTCGTGCAATTCAAAGTGCCATAACAATTTAAGTTGTTGCAATAAATAAGATTGTATAACGTTAATCACATACTTTATGTGTAAGTTTATTATTGTATTATTTTCTTTAATGATTAAGAATGTACTGTTCGTTTTAGGTTCAACAGTTTATTTACATCTGCTGTTACTTAAGCTTTCTCCTATTTTCACATATTAAAATGTTGCATTTTTGTCTTAAAGTAATAAAAATATTTTTATTCAACATTCACCATCAGTGCATGCCAAATGTCGACATTTGCTGGTTTAAGTGAGAAATAATGATATTTAGCAAATATTTCGTACATACACGAAAAGACTGTGTGAATGCTGACATTCACCAGAGAATGTTGACATTCGCCAGATATCGGTCATTCACAGTAACATATACACAATAGCAGGGAAAGTAAAAAGCGCATTTGAAAAATACCCTTGGATATTTTTCAATATGATATAGTTCGACCGAACCACTACAGATCAAAAGATTTTGAGATCTTCAATAAAGTATAACTCTGCATCCGCCTAACAGGGAAATTTCCGGGTTGAAAAATCAGATAGAGCATTGAAAACTACTCTTAGTAGCGGCTCGACTAAAATGTCGGATAAATATTTTTTTGTTATAATCGTGTTCCGCGTCGAATAATAATAATAATATATATATAAAAAAACATTTCATGGAGATAGGCTAAGTAAGTAGAAATTGAGAAAAGTGAGATCGAAGATTTTACCAGAAGCAAAGAGATATACGGACGAAACAAATTTTAGGAAATGCGGCCGCACTACCTAGGATAAATAAAACTAACCGAACGGGGTATTTTTGTCATTTTTATATTATTCTTTATCTTTTCCAACGTCGAGTTCAAAAGAAAAACAAACTTTCTTTCCCTCATAATATGGAGGTTTGTTCTACAGTGAAGCCACTCCCGGCTCCATATCGCCGATAGTAGCAACAGAGCGCTGTCCCTCTAGTTAGATATTACAGCTCCATAGAAGGGACTATCTTAAAGTTTGCAACTACTACTGTTTTTACTACTACAAACGATCAATGAATGAGTCCTAAAAATGTTCGATAAACAAAATCGTAGAGTAACTCGACACTGGGTTTTATTTCATTATTCTTAAACTTTTAGACACGAATTTGTTATGAAGTCAAAATTAAATATTAATTAATATAGCAATATAAACTTTTTAAATTTTAGTAATATTTTTAATGTTAAATTTTCGAAAAATACAATAAAATTTATTTAGTCGCTCCTTAAACTTTAGAAATTAGGAGATTATAGCGCCTCTAGTGACTAAGTGCGGAAACTACATTTGGGTTGGATGTTTGGCGAAATGTATGTGATTAGTTAAGTATTGTATTACGAAAATATGTCGTGTAAATTATCTAAACTTTCGTGTATCAGCGATTTAAGTGGTGTTAAACGTATTCTTTTCCCTAATTACAATCCGGAAAGTAAATATGAAGATGACAGTTTCGATCTGTGGACGGAATCCGAATGGGGCGATGAAGATAAAAAGGAAGGTGAAGAAAAAGAAGAAAATTGGTTGAATGAATGCCTTGTGGCTCTTTCCTCCACTTCCGACGTTCTCGTACTTGCGCTGAGACAAAAAGCCGTGTTTCTCACCTCTAAATGGTTTGTTGGTGATGATAATGATGCTAAGATGAAGTTCCTCATTACATATGGTGATTATCTGACTCACGATGACTATATTACGTCTCTTCTGTGCCTCCCTATAGCCTCGCAGAAGAAGACGCTCTCTGGTGGAGTTGACTGGACTTGTATTGTTGTTGGATTCAATTCTGGTTATGTCAGGATATATACGGAAAAGGCAGAATTGTTGTTATCGCAGCTACTACACGAAGAACCGGTTAATAAACTCAAGTGCCAGAACTGTCCTCCTTCTAAATCTTCCTTTCTGTCTGATCATCAGGCGGATGAGTTGTTAATTGTTTATGGTTCGGTTGTTGTTAGTGTAGACGGTTTTAGTCTTTTGCAGACGCTGCGAGCGTGTAGGAGCCAACTTGCCAGAGTTGCTGCTGGCAAGTGGGAAGTGATAGAAGCACCTCCGCTTACTTATAAGAAATGGAGTTTTCAAGAAAATAACAAAATCAATGATTGTGATAGTATTGGTGTGGTAACTTTGAATTCCTTTGATTATCTTTCCTCGCAATCGTTACGAAGTGGTTTCTATGCTTCTGTTAGATCTAGCATTTCTGTTGTTAATCTATATTTGACCGTGGGTTGTAATCCATACATTGGTTTCTATCAGGCCACGGAAGAAGGATCTCAGTTATTTTTATCCGACGTGGCTCATGCCGTTGCTAATAGATTAAAATCATTTTTTTTAAATGCTACTGCTGGTAGCTTGTTAAACTGGAACCAACAACCAACTAAGAAACAGAAAATAGAGTCTCCAACTACCATTCCGCTGAAATTTGGATTATTTGATAGAAGAAGGCATGGAATTACTATCAATGTTTCACCTAACAAGATGTTAGCAGCAGTGACTGATGCTTTTGGACGTGTCATAGTGTTTGATATTCAGAAAGGCATGGCAATTCGGATGTGGAAAGGATATAGGGATGCCCAGTGTGGATGGATTCAAGTAGAAGACAAAGTGGAACGAGATAAGTATTTACACACTCCTCGTAAAGCTTTATTTTTAGTGATATATGCTCCGCGAAGAGGAATTTTAGAATTATGGTCTTCTCAGCAAGGTCCACGTGTGGCTGCTTTTAATGTTGGAAGATGTAGCAAGCTGCTTAGTCCTGGACATTGCATGATGGGTGTAAACATAGCCCATGTTAATGCAGTCAAATTTCAAACTCATCCTTGTTTTTTATTAAGCTCACTTGGAAGTATTTATACCATTTCAGTGCCATTCCATTGTGCACTAAGTGATAGAAATAGTAAACGTGCAAGAGATATTCATCTCCTTAAAGAATTCAAAACTCTTCTACGTTCCAGTAAAGATAAAAATAAAATGATTGGAGATATCTCAAAAATATTACTTGATATTAAGAGTGCAAATATCAAACAACAAGCTATCGATTCCTTATTAAGGTGTAATACCATAACTGTTGATACTGTAAAATTAGTTATCAAACAGTTAACAATATATCTTTTGAGTCAGGACCTTGAACAGCTTGATTATGAAAGTAAACTTTTATTACAGACTTGTTGTAGAATTGAAGGACTGATTGCCACTTATGAGGCTATCAGTCTTATAAATGAAAATTCGCCTCCTGAAAATGAATCTAATTTTCTAGATATTGAATTGATCTCAACAAAGCTAAATACATCAGAAGCAGAAATTGGCAGGATAATGTCACTTTTAGCACTGTTCCAATCTGTTCAAAGTGCTTGTCAAAAGAAAGTGAGGTTCCTTGATAATGAAGAACGCTTATTAAAAATACCCTTTTCTAATTTCGTGCACACTTTTATAGTTAGCCAAAGTCATCTAATGAAAAATGAAAATGACGAAATTGTCATCTCTGAATTAACTGTTGATTTGAATCCTGCTGCATCTGAAACAGAATTGGCAAATACAGGAGAATTTTTGTTTAGTTACTTTATTCGGAATGAAGATTCTTTATCTGATTTCAAAGAAATAATAAAGAGCAGTAGAATAACTACTAATGCTATGATAACAATTTTAATCTATTATTGGTTATCTTCTGAAAATATTAATCAGTGGCAAGAATGGGTAAATTTTCAGCAGGTGCTTAAACATTTCTGTTCAGTTAGTGATGTTCAAGCAATGAATTCGGATTCTTTTCCATGGGATAAAGTTAAAGTGTTGCTTTCTCAATCAACAAATAACATTGCGGCCTATATTGGTGCAGTCATAACTCGCTCGGTTTCGATTGAAGTTGCATCGTCGTTTAATATCGTGAAACAACAAATGGATCGGAATGAAACTGAAAGTAGTGAAAATTCTGAAAATGTAGAAAATAAAGAAGAAGAAAAAGAGGGTAGTGATGAGAGTGATTGGGAAGCTATTTCTCTGGATGTTGAACAGTGGAGTTTGTTTGTGAAACAGCTGGAAGATGTTTTAATTTTAAGTATTCTTCTAAAAAGTAAACCTGCCATTAAAGCTCCTATCTCTAATAAAAGGATAAATATTTCTCTCTCTTCTCTTCAGTCTGGTGGACCAGGCATTATGACAGACCTGGTTGCTGCATGGTGTGTGGATGTTAAGATTAATCCTGAAATCTTGAACACTTACACAACTGAAAGTGAAGATATATTATCAAATATATCTGATCAGGATATGGATAAAGTACAGAATATTAGTGTGATAAAAGGACTTTTAGGACAAGTAAGAAAGAGATTTCCTAGAAGTATGGATCCTGATGCTCTGTTAGCTAATTGTTCATGGGAATACATGGTCCATTGGGATAAAAATCATGATATGATTTACCATTTAAAATCTGCCCTTCAGTGTTTATGCCTTGTAATGAGTGCCATTTTAAGATGTGGTGTTGCTTATATGATGTGGAAGACTTTTGTCCATAAAAGATTTGAAGGCCTGGTTATGCTCATTGAAAAAGTAGGTAAAATGCCAAAAGATCGCTTGTGTAGAAGAGACGTAGAAATTAGCGACGTGTATTTAGAAAATTTTGTAGATTTCTGCACCCAGTTACTCGAAATACTCCTAGAAGCCAACGTAATATCAGAAGTCGAAACAATACCGATGTTTCCGCCGGAAGAATTGTGGAAAGGCAGAGACGTACACGGTCCTGCACCATTTGTGACTCTTGCTCTCCAGCAACCAAATCCTAACTACGCTCTCATCCATCATCATTATCTTCTAGCCAATTTCTTACTCTTCATCATAGCTTTTCAACAGAAAAACGTTCGTCCTCTCAGCTTTTACGATTCAAAAGGAAAGAGTGCTTTTTTCAAAGATTTACACCGTAGCATAAACATCCCCCTGAAAGGACTCGACACCGGCATCGTCGATTTGAGGAAACAGTTTCTCTCGAGTACCGTGACCGCCATAGTTCGGAACATAACTCAAAACGACAAATACGCCAGCATAGTGTCCACCGCATCCGGAGAGACTGAAGCCAGCAAATGGTTCAACCGTCTGGTGGACTTGTGTCGCGGGTGGGACGTAGATCCGGACGAGATCAGAAGTCAATACGTCTACGAACTGTACAACCACGGCCACGACACTCTGGCGGAAGAGGCGACGACATCAGTCACGGAGCCGGTCGGTCTGGGTTTACGACTCCTGGCGTTGGCCGGACAGAGAGTACGCAGCGGACTGTCGAACGCCGAAGACACCGCCGCAAAACTGGCTCATCTGCCCCCTTCCCTCTCCTCGTGGTTGAAGACTCTGGATAAACCCGTCACCTGTTCCGTTCCTTTAAGCTCGACTTCAGTTTTATTAGAGAAAATCATCAACTTTCTTCCAGAGAGTTGCAGCGAACAACAAATGGCAATCTTATTATTAGAAGCGGTGAACGATTTAACCGCGCACGGTCCAAATTAATTAGCCAAATTGCACACGGTATTTCTTAATAAAAGTTACACATTTTTTGGTATTTACGTTTAATTGGCAAAATTTATTATATTATGTTTGTTTTTCTCGGTTTAGTTTTATTGATTGTAACTGTTAATCTTGTAAAAAATTTTTTTAACGTAAAGAAAAAAATTATAATATATACAAATCGTTTTAATTATGTAGAAATTTACTAAGAATAAATTATGAATTGATAAAAGTTTCTCAATTATTCAGAATTGGATGCTTAAAAGAAATGAAATTTGTAAATATTTTCTAAATACTATGTCTATTTCCGACTTCCGTATAAAATTTCGTTAGGGCGTTCTCGTTGCGAAAGTGTTTGTTTTAGAAAAATTATACGTTAATTACGAACTAAAATGAAAATTTCTGCCATAAGAAATTAATTTGGATTCAGAATCGCAGAATTTTAAAAATTGAATTTTATTTAAATTTCAAATGTGTCGGGTATTCGGATGGAAATTTCACTAATGTCGATTCAGTGGGACGTAGATCCGGACGGACAGAGAGAATTAATGAGGCAATTTTAAATTATTTAACGAGAATTATTTAAATAGAATTTTCAATCTTTAGTTTTTTTAAAATACAAAAGTTTTTATGGCTATTTTTTCGGCGGAATATTTGCTTCCATTTTCTGTTAATTTGGCAGCCAAACGGCGGGAAGCAGACGCCATTTTGAACGAGTTTAAGTCGTTGCGAAAGTCAACCTGGGAAAGATGGATAATTCGAGCATTAAAAACTTGGAACTGAGTTTCTTTTCGTTACTGAATAAGTAAGAATGTTTTCGTATTAGTTAAATCAGATTTTATTAATTATATAACTCATTATTTTGAAATTATGAAATTCAGAAAATGGTAAAATTGTAACGTTTTTGTTTTTAATATTTTAAAGAAAGTAAGAAATAACCACTCTGTGTTTGAACTCGGTTAAAAGCTGAATTAAAATATGATAAAGGAACGAGGAAAGCTCTCGATTCTAACAAAGATTTAAGAGTTTGATGGAATCTTTCTTTCGATGTATATGTATACTCTCTGTTGAATGCTACGTCTTATTTTATCGTAGTAGTTGTGCTTCAGTTACACAGACTGTTGCGCCCCGTGGTGGTGAGAGATGGCGGTAGTAATATTTTCCTCAGTATTTATAGGTCTGCTTGTAAACGGTGAAAAAAGTGATCGTACTTTGTATACAAATCTCGATGGGCATAAATTTTAGACGATCGCTTATCTTGAACATTTTGTGACGAATGTTACTGTTGTTGTTTAGAATTTTTTTTCGGACTGGTTCAAAGTGATAGCAGTTTTCCGACCGATGTATCATAGTATCTTGCTCTGTCGGGCAGAAGGTACGGCGATTGGTATTTTTCAGTTTACGTTTATGAGAAAGGAATTACAGTTGTCCCTCTATAGTCCGACGTTTTTTAATCCGACATGCTCAGTAGTCCGACGCACCTCCCATCAAGGTACCCGTCCCCGTTACGTGTCTGCTTGCACAGAAGCATGTCGCGATGTGAATCTCCCCATCCAATTTTTACATGATGACACACATTTCGTGTGTTTTATGTGAGCAGTTCTGTTCGAACAGTTGGAGTAGAGAATATTGTAAGTTACTGCTAGCAAAACAATGCGAAATATGTAATTATTTTCGGTAATCCGGAAACTTTTGTGTGTTTTATGTGAGCAGTTCTGTTCGAACAGTTGGAGTAGAGAATATTGTAAGTTACTGCTAGCAAAACAATACGAAATATGTAATTATTTTCGGTAATCCGGACACTTTTGGTAATCTGACACACCTTTGGTCCCATACCTGTCGGATTATCAAGGGACAACTGTAGTGATGAGGGAATTGGTTCTGGCCCGATGAATCGGGATAGTAGTGTATCGGTCTGTATAGGCCGTGACGGGAATGTGTCGGCCGATGATGAGCCGGTGATAGTCTGTATGGCTGGGAAAATTATGCCGTTTGTTGTCCATTTGATGTTTGATTTCGGTGTTTATAATGCTGATGTAATCCTCCGAAGTAATATAATGGGTTTTCTTGGTGTCGTAAGGCTGGCTCTTAACATGTTTGTCCGCTTGTTCGTGTATAGTTAACCCTTTATGAGCTGGGGTCCAAACAAGATGCGTCTATAGATTATCTTTATTATGTCTGTTGATGAGACTTATGATGGTGTGAATGATGGATGAAGACTTATCGTAGTGAGCGTTGATAGCGGTAAGGATAGCTTGAGAGTTCGTGCACACGGTGATGTTGCTGTTAGTCTCGGTAGCATGTTGTAGCGTGCTAAGGATAGCAAATTCCTCCGCTGTAAAAAACCTTGGGGAGAAGAGTGTAATGGCTTTGATGTTGTTGGTGTAGTTGATGAACGCTGCCGTGACAGTTGTGTCGGTTTTGGAATCGTCGGTGGCCAGGAAAGTAGAGAGATCTTGTATCGTTGCCCACTCATAGAAAATGGATTGAATAATGGGATTTGGTAGGGAGGAGTCCTGGAATGGAAGGTTGTCGATGTGTATGTCGAAGACGGTGGCATTGGGGGGTATAGAGTTTTGGGTTGTGTGATTCTTGGTAGGGATATTATGGCTGTTTGTCCAGTTCTGGATGTAATGGGCTATAGGAATTTTCACAAGGGTGGCACCTTCGTTGCTGTGAATTAGATGTATAATTCTCCGAGAAAAGTTGTCCCTCGAAGCCTTCTGGAGATAGGAACTATAATGTTTTACAGTAGAGTCTCGAAAACTCGGCCTAATGTGGACCAAAGGGTGGCCGAGTTTGTGAAAATGCCGGGTTATCGGGAATGGGGTTAAAAAAATAAGTGTGAGTGTTTTCTCAGAAAATACTGTACTGTACTTGTATGTATTGTTTACTTGAGAATACAACAGAGAATAAACTTCCCAAATACCCTTAAACAAAGGAAAAGTATGTACTTTATGAAGACATAGAGCCATTACTACATGAAAATGAAAATTAATGAATACACTGTGTACAGTAATTCACCTGATAAGACAGACCTCAGAAAAATACTTTATGATGCATAAAGCTGTCTATAATGAAAATTAATTAACTAAGGATTTTTTTGCCCTGCCAGGGTGTGGCCGAGTTATCTGGACTGCCGAGTTTTCGAGACTACTGTATTAGATACTTCCTGTAGCGGCAAGCTATGGTTGTGGCGTTGGTCGCTCTGCGAGTATGGATATTGTTAGCAGTCGTAGGGAGACCATAGCTGAGTTTAACGTACTGCATCTGTAAGGATTTTTTATAGTAAGGATATTATAGTATTATATAAGGATTCTAGGGTTGCCATCTGGGTTTTAGTTAAGGTTGCGATGCTGGGACAACATACATGAGTAAGCTGTCGATGGTGCTGTCAGCAATTCACAAGAGGTTCTTTGGCTGGCTGCCATGTTTTTTGTTACAATAAATTTTAAAGATGTTCAGAAGCTTTCTGCTTTTGTTCCAAATGTATTGAATGTGGGTGTTCCGTGTAAGATGTGCAGTAATGTAGATGCCAAGTAGATTGATTTTGGAGACCTCGGGGATTTGTTGGTTATCCTTTCAACAGTGGGCTAGTCTGGTATGGTTCTACCCCCAGTAGTGGAGAATAAATGGAAATTTTTAAAGTATTTTTCCATGCATTTTTTCTCATTACTGTTTTGGAAAAAGATTTTGTAAAGTTATATCTAGTAAAGAAAAGTCTTTTTTTATTGTTACATAATTCAATTTTTATGTGAATTTTTTATCACGGTATTTTTAGGCTAGTTTTTGGCGATAACCCCCAAAAGAATTTGACGACTATAGTCATCCCTCACCACTGCCGCATGATCGCCCTTGATGACTGTAGTCGGTCACTGCTGAGTGGTTATTGAGGACGAAATCCTGGTTGCTGCGTATATTAATGGATATGTGCAGGATCGTGCACTTCCATGGTTTGCACTGAACTGAATTTTTCTGAGACCATCTGCCGAACTTGTTTAAAAATTGGACTGTGTTATGATGTAAATGGGTTGGGTCAGCACCATGCGTGACGGCTGTAACATAGTCTGTGTATAGATTTTAGTGTATTCATTTTCTAGTTGAAAGATGTCATTCATAAAGATGGCAAACAGGAAGAGGGAGATCACAGTACCTTGAGGGATTCCTATGCATTGGATACTGCTAGGAGAGAGGTAGCCCCCTCCATTTGATTTGTACCTGCCTGTTGGACAGGAAGTCTTTGAGCCAGAGAATTGAGTTGCCTTTTAGGCCTTTTTCTAAAGTCTTCCATATAATATGAGAGTGATTGATTTTGTCGTAAGCTGTGCAAATATTGAGAGTAGTAATGTTGATGTAGTATTCCAGAGGGTGTATAGTTGTAACATGAGATGAGTTAGTAAGTTCTGAGTGCCTTTGCCAGGAAGGCCTTCAAAGTGCTTATAATTAAACCAATTATTGTGAGTAGCTATGCGCTGCCACTTATAGAGAATTATCCGTTCCATCGTTTTCATGACCGTGGAAGTAAGCGTTATTGGTCAGTAGTTCTTGACCATAGTCTTTACCTTGTTTGTGAATGGGGAGGATGATGGTATTTTTCATCTTCGGTGGTATGTTGTCCAACGACCATATGGTGTTGTAGACCGCCAATAGGTGGTCTCTGGCCTGATCATCGAAAACCTTTAGCATACTTGTCGTGATGCCGTTGGCCCCAGGAGTCGTGTTCTGTCCTCTATTTATTGCGATATCCAGCAGATTTTCCACATTTATCACACCTTGTAGGTTGTTTTGAAACTGAGTAAGAGAGATTTATCACACCTACAAGGTGTCATAAATCTGTGAAAACTGCCCTTTGGCGGTAAGGTTTGAGCTCTAAACGAGGGGTTTTGCATCCCTGGAATTATAGATCCTCCTGTACCAGCGAAAACGTCAAAGGAACCGTACCTGTATGTGCAGCCCTTCTCCAGATATTTGCCTCCAGAGGTCGGTTTTTAATGCTTGTTGGTATACGGCCTATTCTCTGTGCTCTGCCTCAGTCGACGCTTGCCTTCACTTCCACCTGTGGTCGTGCACTTTGGTGCCAGCCCCCACATCCCCTAAAAGTATAGTGCCGAGTACTCAACCAATGGTCGGTCTACTGGGCTGCTCGAAGTGGTATAGTCATGTGGGCTAAATAGTTAAACATGGGTGGATCTAGGTTTTGTGGGGCCTAGGGCTTATTGAAGTCCAATGGGGCCCCATTTTTTGTTAGATTATGAATTTTTAAATTGGGGTTTGAAGTTCATTTATAATAACATCAAAATCAGAGTTGAAATATATTTATTTATGAAATTGTGTTGAATGACAAACTTTATATCGATAAGTACTCATTGTTAATGAAACGTATTAAAAATTTATGACAATAATTCAATTTTTGTGGGCCCTTGACATTTAGGGGTTCAGGGCTTAAGCCCTATTAGTCCCTATGTAGATCCGCCCCTGTGTAAGTATGATAATTTATATAGAGACATTATATAGGGGCACCCAATTATCTTTGCCTTAGAGGTGTCAGATACTCTTGATTATATTAAACTTACTAATTTTTTATACCATTATATAGTATAATTTATTTATTTGCTAACCAGGTTTAGGGGAGATCGGAGCAACTTCGGCATGCGGGGCAAGTTTGTCAAGCGCTTTTTTTAAAAAACAAATTAAAAGGAGACTTTGGTTATAGGTTAGGCAGTTGAGTTTTATTGGTGGCTTGTTGAGTGTAGTGTTTTTATTGTTCTCCAACAAGCGTAGTTGAATTATCAAGCAAATTTTCAT